GGAGCGCGGGCAGTGTCATGGCCCCAGGGGGGGTTTTGGGGGAGGAAAGGGTGCCACCACCTTTTTTTTGAAGTTGAGGAAGTAGTTGGCTTGGTCAATGAAGAAGAGCTCGAGCGCGGAGCGGCGCAGGTTGTAGCGGCGCAGGTGGACCTCACGCAGGTGGGACAAGGGGCGCTTAAAGTCATAGCCGATCCCTGCCGAGATGTGGGGGCACAGAGCCCCATGGGCATCATTGTCCACCCGGAAGCCAATTCCCAAGGTAGGGATGGGGGCCAGCATCGCCCGGGGGCTGGGAGAAGCCCACCCCCAAAATGACCAGCACCCGGCGAGATGGGCTTCTGGGGGAGATGGGATGGGTGGGGGGGTTCCTCACCCCACCTTGCTCCCCCTGAGGAGCGCACTTTGTTACCTCCTTCTGTCTCCTCCTTCTCGCTGCTGCCGTCGTAGAAGTAGACGTGCTGGGTTGTCACCTCCAGGCGTCCGGGGACGACAGCCACCGTCGTGATGAGCTCGCAGTCCTCTGAGACCACCAGCTTCTCCCGCTGATTCTGCTCCTTGGGCTCAGCCCTGGGTGACACCGAGGGTGAGGACACCCCAGTGACACCTCCAGCCTGGGCGAGCCAGTGCCATGACAGGGGACAGGGACACTCACTGGTTGTCCAGGACGGGGAGGTCCTCCTCAGCCAGTTGGTCATCCTCTAGCTCGCTCACCTTGGCCTCCTTGGCCATGGCGAGTGGGAGGGACTCGGCGGGGATCAGCTCCTGAAATGAGGAGGGGGTCAACAGACACCCCCCAGCCACCTGCAGCTGGGGGACGAGTCCCACGAGGGTTGTCCATCCCACTCCCCAACTGCAACAGGGTCCACGACAGCTTCCAGCTCAACCCCACCACGTGCATCCAACGGTGACACCCCCTTGCATGGGGGCACCCCTGGGTGCCCCACTCCCATCAGCCTTACCCAGGTTGTCCCGTAGGGCGCTGGCCTCCAAGTGTTGGTCAAAATTCAGGTTGGGCACCAGCTTCAGCCTCATCCGAGAGTAGGTCTCAGCGCTTGACAGCTTCCAGCGAACCTCCGGTGGGTTCCTGGGGGGCAGGTGGGGGTGAGGCACCCTGGGGACCCCCAGCCATGCCACCCCCTGCCTGGGGACCAAGGCGGGTGCTCACCGGTCGGCCCAGGCGGAGCGGGGCGAGGTGAGGAGGCGGCACAGGGACCGCCATTGCTTCAGCACGGTGCTGTGGTGGTTGTTGGCCTGCTTGAGCACGTTGGCGTGCCGGATGTTTTCCGCCTTGGAGCGCTTCGCCGCCGGCTCCAGCACCAGCTCCTGCCGAGGGAGTGGGAGAGTGAAGTGATAGCTGGGCTGGGGCTTGGGGACATCCCTGAGGTGAGGAGCATATCCACGGGGTGATGTCCCCAGGGCAAGGAGAACGTCCCCAGCGTGATGTACTTGGGTTAAGAAGCACATCCTTGGGATATGTCCCTGGGTGAGGAGCATGTTCCCAGGGTGAGGAGCACATCCCCAAGATAACGTCCCCAGGATGATGAGCACATCCCCAGGATGACAGTCCTGGGACGAGGAGCATGTCCCCAGAATGATGTCCCCAGGAAGAGGAGCACATCCTGAGGATGATGTCCCCAGAGTGAGGAGGATCTCCCCAGGATGAAGAGCACATCCCCAGGATTAACGTCCCTAGGGTGAGGAACACATCCCCAAGATTACGTGCTCAGAGCGAGGAGCATGTTCATGGGATGACATCCTTGGGGTGAGGAACACATCCCCATGACCCCCAGATGACGTCCCTGGGGTGAGGACCACGTACCCCGGGGTGAGGACACATCCCTGAAAAAACGTCCCTGGGATGAAGAGCACATCCTCAGGATGATGTCCCTGGGATGAAGAGCACATCCCGAGGACCATGTCCCCAAGGTGAGGAGGATGTCCCCAGGATGACACCCTCGGGATGAGGGGCACATCCCTAGGATTAATATCCCCAGGGAGAGGACCATGTCCCTAGGATGACATCCTCAGAGTGAGGAGAACATCCCTTGGATGGCATCCTTGGGGTGAGGAGCATGTCCTCAGGATGAGGAGCACATCCCCAGGGTGACGTCCCAGGTGGGAAGGAGCAAGCAGTACCTGGAACATCTTGCGGCTGGCTGCCTTCTCCTGCTCCCGCCGCTGGGAGCTGCTCATCATGGCATCATAGCAGGCATTCCAGAAATTGGACATGTGGTCGTGGCTCTTGGCAAAGGTGTCCATCTCGAACTGGGCCATGGTGGGCTGCACCTACCGAGAGAACCGGGCCAAGAGGGGAGGTGTTTGCACGGCTTGGCACCCACCAACCGTCATCCACGAGCATCCCTACCCTAGAAGTCACCCCTACAGGCTGTCCCAACCCAGTGGTGACATGGGTCACCTGAGAAGGTGTTCCCCCAACAGCGATGCCACCCCATGCCCCACAGCACCCACGTGCTTCTCGATGAAGCCCCTCCATTCCGGGGTGGTGCAGAAGAGCTGGAAGTCCTCATAGAAAGTGGGGCTGCCGTTGGTCGGGGGCAATGAGGGCAGGAAGAGCTGCAGCTGCAGGGTCTCGTAGCACTGGTCCATGAGCGTCCGAACGATGGGCACCAACCAGGAGAAGGTCTCCGACTTGGCATCCAGCGAGCGTCGCAGTGGGGTCTCCAGCTTGCCCAGCAGGTAGCAAGCCTCGTCCTTTTTGGGGGCCGAGGCGGTCTGCAGCAGGCTGTGCAGCTTCACGTACGCCAGCGAGTGCAGCTGGAGGGGGGACGTGGGACATCAGATGGGGTCACCTGCTCTGCCCCAAGGGCTGGGGTCTCACCCCGAGCCCCAGGAAGGGTTGACCCACCTGGGGGTCCTGCAGCATGATGTAGCCCACGAGGATGCGTAGACCCGTCTGGGCCATCTCCTTGAGGTCGGAGGTGCCGTTGGCCAGGTGGTACCAGACGCCCAGCTTGTCCAGCAGACTGCTCACCCCCTCGTAGATCTGGGGGGGGGGGCACAGTGAGTCCCCCACCCGGCCACGGACCCCCCACCTCTCCAGCTGGGTGGGCACAAAGCCACCAGGTCTGTTCCCATCACCCAGCCAACCTCGGCTTTGCTTGATGTGGGTTTGGGTTATGGGCGGGGGTTAGGGTATGGGTTTATGGTAAGGGTCTAGGGTTAGGCTTAAGGGTTAGGCTAAACCATAGGCTGAGGTTTACAGCAAGGATGTAGGGTTAAGGTTTGGGATTAGGATTTAGGAGGTACGGTTAGATTTATACTTTCGAAGTTAAGGTTAGGGCTTGGGGCACAGGCTTAGGATTTTGGCTTACAGGAAGGTTGTGGGGTTAGGGTTAAGGGTTGGGATTGGGCTTAGGGCTAGGGTAAAGGGTTGAGGTTTATGGCAAAGATGTAGGGTTAAGGTTTAGGATTAGGATTTAGGAGGTATGGTTATGATTTAGGTTTAGGGTTAGAGCTTAGGTTATAGGGCTAGGGTTTTGGGTTTACAGAGAGGGTGTAGGGTTAAAGTTAAAGTTTAGGTTTAGGGGTTAAGGTTCAGGATCAGGGTTAGATTTACATGTTATGAGTTAGGGACAGGCTTTAGGGTTAGATCTTAGCACATAGGGTTAGAGTATAGGGTTAGGTTTACAGTAAGGTTGTAGGGTTAGGCTTAAGGGTTAGGGTATAGGATTGGGGTTAGGGTTGAGGTTTGCGGCAAGGATGTAGGGTTAAGGTTTTGGATTTAGGAGGTACGGTTAGATTACAGGTTATGAGTTAAGGTTAGGGTTTGGGTTTCAGTTTACAGTAAGAGCGTAGGGTTAGGGTTAAGATTAGGGTTAAGGGTTGGGGGTTATGACAAGGATGTAGGGTTATGGTTTAGGATTAGGGGTTAGGGTTTAGGATCAGGGTTAGACTTCACAGCAAGGGTTAGGGTTAGATTTACATGCTATGAGTTAGGGATAGGGTTTAGGGTTAGATCTTGGCATGTAGGAGTAGGGTATCTGATTTGGGTTTGTGGTAAGGGTGTAGGATTGGGGTTAAGGACAGAATTAGGGGTTAGGGCTGGGGTACAGGACTGAGCTTCACAGCAGGAGTGCAGGGTTAGGGTTAAGGCTTAGGGTGAGCTGGGGTTTATGGCAGGGGTGTAGGGCTAGGGCTCAGGTTTAGGGTTAGGTTTAGGGGTTAGGGTTAGGTTTAGGGGTTAGGATTAAGGCACAGGTTATTGCCTAAGGTTAGGTTCAAGGGGTAGGGGCAGGGTTTAGGGTTAGGACTAACACCAGGGGTTAGCACTAGGGTTCAGAGCTCGGGTTTGGGATCAGGAACCCCTGCTCGTGCCCATCCACCTTCTCGCTCCACAGGGCCTGGTTGTTGTGTCCCTCGGAGAACAAGAAGTCCTGGAGCAGCCGCAGCAGCTTGAGGGCGTTGTGGGTGAGACCAGGCACGGCGGATGGCCCTGACTCCTTCAGGTCCGTCAATGCCGACTCCAGCATCATCTCCAGGAGGCTGTGGGAGAGCAGGCGGCTCCGTAGGGTGGTCCTCCCTTGGGGTGCACCCCCTGGACCTCGCTCCAGACCTGGGCAGGACTTACCTGCGCTTGATCTCATCAGGGGGCCGCACCAGCTCACACGCTGTCCCCAGCTTGGTGAGGACGGAGAAGACCTGCCCACGTTCCCTCCACGCTGCATCGTCCCAGCCCTCCACCCCGCGCCAGGTGACCGAGAAGACGATGTTGGTCAGGAGGTTGCACAGCTCCTCCTCGGGTGTTTGCTGTCAATGGGGAGGAAGGGTGAGAGGTCTGGTGTCCAGTGTAGCCCGGGGTGGTGGGCACGATGGTTTGGGACTCACCTGGGGGTTGCTGGTGTTGGAAACATTATCACTGGGCAGAGCATCTTGGTAGCTGCTCTCATCCAGGACGTTTGAGAGGCTGGAGCTCTTGCGTGCTCGCATCCCCGGGAAGGGCTTGAAGCTCTCCAAGGGTGAGGGGGTGCCGGGGCCGCTGGCAGGGGTCTGCGTGCCACTCTCGGCCGTGGCAATGGAGCTGGTGCTGGCCAGGTCAAGCCCCAGGTCGAAGGGTGAGGTGGAGAAGGGTGAGAGTGGGTGGTAGACACCATCAAAGGGAGGACCATCACCAGGGTTGGAGGATGAGCGGCTGGCCCGGTCGGAGGAGTCGAAAGACTTGAAGTTGTAGGAGTGGAAGGACTTGGTGCGGCCGCTCGGGGAGATGGAGTGGTCGGAGAAGCCCTCGGAGAGCTCCTGGTCCGAGACCTCATAGCCCAGTGGCAGGAAGACGTCCAGCTCCTGCAGCTCGGCTGGCGGTGGGCTGATCCCCTCT